TATATATATATAATACGTATATCGTCGGCACGTACTGCGAGCGGATCACAACACCACGGCTCTTGTCACACGTTTCTTTCTGTGCGTGAGCGTGTGTTTGGGTGTGTGTACGCCGCATAGTGAGCGAACAGGCGATTGCGTGTGGGTGTGAGTGTGGGTGTGGGTGGGTGTGAGTAACTGCGTGTTTGTTGGTGAGGTGTATGCGTGGATTAGCAATCGGCAAAAGACAACGCACAACGGCTTGTCACTTTTGATATACGTGGGTGCGCGTGCGTGCGTGCGTGCGTGCGTGCGTGGATTTTTCTTCATGGCCTGTACCGTAGTGAATATTTATTGCTTTATTGATGTACGTATGCTGGATGTGCAGCATTTAAATGTTGCCATCAGGCATGCACAACCGCAAGGCGATTCAAGTATATTAATTACCTCTCACATGTCAATTAACTTAAATGAATACAAATCTGTTTTTTTATTTCATGTAGTATCATACAAACATTTGTATTCAACTGTTGTTCTGTATAAACTCAATATGGTTATAATAAAATTATAAATGAATCACAACATACGCTTTTTTTGATATACTTATACAAGATACTGCATGGTTTGTGCGCGGATACACACGGTAATATAACCGGGTAATATAACCGGGTAATATAACCCGGTATAACCCGGTAACAACACGGTAATACACACGGTAATACCCCGCATTACGATAAACCGAGTCACGTAAATTCGCCCGGTAACAAAATAACAAGGCATTCGTTCTCACTCGCCGTCAAAAACAGTAAATGTAATGCATATGCAGTCGGTTGCCAACAGACGCCGTGCGAGCCAGCCTATTAAGTGCGACACCCCTGTCAGGTTGAGACTGCTTCACAGCTTTCAGAGGAAACGTCGTGTGGGCTTGGAATGTTGGCACTCCTGCGACGGGTACCCCGCATCCAGCGTCCTTCGGCTACAAAAGCACTCCTAGTCTGACTTCCCTTTCCTGTGTTACGCCGTTGAATGATCGACACGCACGTTTAAGATCACTGCATGCGCTTGCACTAAGTGAGATCAGGAGATTGCCCACTTTTTTGGCCGAAAACACTTCCGTAAGAACGCATAGCAAATTATATAAGGAAAGTCAATGGGGAAACATAATAAAAAAGGAAAGAAATGTCACTTTACGAACATATTTTCTCGAACGCACTGCTTTCGTAACGCGAGGTATTACAGGTGTAATAGACTTCACTTCTCAAGTATCTGTGCCGTCAGTGGCGACACACCTCGCTCATCGAAGCACGACCCACCACGATTCACGCCCCCCCCCCTCCCGGAAACGAAGAGCCCTCGAAAAACTGGAATAGCACCTGGAACGTGATACGACGCCCTCTCTCTCCTCAAGACGGGCGGCGAGCCGACGAGTGAACAAGCGAGCGTTCGCGCTCTCACCTCGGCTTCCTCCTCCCGCGCCTGCGGGGCTGTCCCGCGGCAGCGGCGGCGGCGCGTGAACAAGCGAGCGTTCGCGCTCT